AAAACGGTTACAATGGGTATCTTTCCCGAACATGGGAGAGAAACATTTCCCAATTCAGCATGGGACTGTCAATAGAGAAGTCGCACCACATTCTATACATATATTCATCTAAATGACTATAAATGAGATCCATTTATAGCCCGTATCCTATTTTTCAATCGACCCCAAAATCCTTCAATGGAATTTGTATGAGTCCCTGTAACTGGATCCACTAAATCACTGGAGTGGTTCACTCTGTGATGAATGTATCCCAGGGATGACAATGAATTGTACCCTTTCCACTCGTCGGTATGAACAATTGATCCCTGTTTCACAAGTCGCGTTATAATAGGAATCAGAGTAGTCGCCTTCCTGTCTGCTATTCTTTCAACAAATCCTTTTCGGAGGGACGTGTCGTATAAACCTATGACCCAAATGTTGTTCGCTCTCTGACGACCACGGTTATATTTCTTCTTCACCAACACTGTCTCATCCACATGCACTACTACGTCGTCCCCGCCTAACAACGAAGTAATTCTCTCCATTTTCCATGAGGCGATGTCTCTGCAGTGCTGGTACCACTGAACTGTTGAGACGAGGCTGTTCTCCGTCTTGGCAGCAGCGGCTCTCACCGGCTGTTTCAATACCCAGTAATTGCAGATGTACAAAATCTGGGTTAGGGAGAGATGCGACCTAGCAAAAAAATTCCTACGAAATATTAAAATTAGCAGCTTACCCTCTCTAATACTAACTCGCTTCCAGCATATTCCACAACGATGGACAAAACCATCAGTTGACCTGGTATAGCTTTTTAGAGTCATTACACTACCACACGAACAACTTCTCTCCTTTCGAAGCAAGCCTCCTTTTGAATCAAGCGCTATACAACACTGAACTACGTTCGTGAATCTCATTGGATAATTCGACGTCGTTCGCTGATTGGTAGTTACTGGTGTCTAAAGTTTAACTTGGCCCTGAATGGTATACCAGTTCGCCTTGTAACCACGAAATCACCGGTTCTATCTCTGGTGGGGTGATGGATGCATACTAATGGACAGTCCCAAACTATGACAAGACAGTTGTGCAGTATTATCTGGAGGGTTTCAAGGGTTCTCTAACTGATGAGTCCATTCTTGATCGATAGTGAAATCAATCAAATCTCTGCAAACCAAAACTTCAAAAGGTACAAATGGTTAGAGAAACGTCGAGTACTGATGAAGAGTCCTGCAGTAGTCATAAACACTTGTCTTTGATTTATGTCACGAAAAACACCCATTTATTCATAAATAAAAACAACACAGTTTTTTGTTCAGCGAAGAAATTTCTTTTCAACGACTTCATTTTCAAGCTGTACAGTCGTATTTATATTACAGAAAAGGTTATTAAGTGGCACTAAATAATTGCTCAGTCAATATATATATATATATATATATATATATATATCAAAAGTATTTTTTAAAAACAGGTCAACCGTTGTCTAAAAATTTCAAAAATTAGGAGTACGATTACGATAATAATGAAGATGTGAAGTGAAGTGGAAGGAATTCAGGTGGTAAAATAAAAACTAGAAAGAACATTACTATGACCAAGGTAAAGAAGGGGGTTTGACAAAACTTTTTTGAACACATAATTTAGGTTTCTGTTCATGTATAGCTAAAGCTTCGGATATGCATAAGTGAAGAAAGCGTAAACTTTTGGATCGATTCGATTTTGCCATGTAGATAACTTTGAAAGATGAATCACGTGGGGCTAAATGACCTGACTCTAACAGGTGATCACAGATAGACGACTTCGCAGTTCCACGTTCGCCTTTCATTAACCAGACTGGATATTGTTCAGCTACACGTTTTCGGAGATTACGCCTAAAACGTCCAATATAAACAGCTTCACAAGAGCAGGTAAAAGAGTAAATACACATAGATGTGGACAAAAGCGGTAATTTATCCTTGACGCAATGTCTAATCATATTTCGGTTGGTAAAAACTAGTTGTAAGTCAGCTGTAGGAAAAGTACGTTTAATACATTTAGATAAAAGATTTTTAATCAATTCCGAAATGGTGTCACCTTTGAATGCCAGACTCATAAACAGTTTCTTCTTTGGCACTGTAATTTGTCTGGGGGCGTGTTCTTTCTTGATGTTACGTTCGATAAACCTTGTAGGATAACCATTATTAAGGAGATTTGATCGAAGCTTATCTAGTTCACTATCGATTGTCTCTGCATAGCAGATTTTACGAATTCTAGAGCATAAGGAATGAATAAGATTTCTCTTTCTCCCTAAAGGAACCCAACTGTTTAAATTAGTATACTGCCCAGTGAATGTTGGCTTTCGGTAAATCGACCTTAACAGCGTGCCATTCTCTCTTCTATCTAGCTTAACATCAAGGAAGTGAAATGAGGAATTCAACTCTTCTTCGACCGTGAAAAGCAAAGATGGGTGAGAACCATTAAATATTCCAAGATTGATTTATGTTTCTTTTTTTAAGAGTATTACAACGGTTCTTTCAACTGATGCTAGTGGTTTGTAGTAAAATCAATAAATCACACACCATCTTTCAGATTTGAGAACACAGTATTTTTAATGAAGAGACTCTTTGGAACACATTTATTATCAAGCTGTACAATCGTATATATATTTATACATGATATTTAAGAAATTATATCCCGTGAGAAAATCTGAACACAAGGTGTGACTACTCAGAGTAATAATGTTGTGAAATACGATAAAATCTTTGTGATTATGCAATCAAAGTTCAATATAAATTGTGATAAAGCAAATGATGTTATACCATGACATAGGTCATAGAATGGGTAGGTAGTTCCTCGGAAGAGGTGTAAAATTAGTAGAAATAAATAGGATTAATAAGCAAATAAAACAGTACGTAACACGGTGAGAAGTTTGGTAAGATAGACTTCAATGGTGCTTAAAAATATATTGATTCAAATTAATAAGTGCGACAAGTGAAATAACAGTGGCAAGTGAAAATACAAAAATAATAACAAACATAATAATAAGGATAAGAGGTACATAGATTAAATATAAACAAAGCGAAAAATAAATTTTCAGAAGAATGGCTACTGAACAAAGAATAGGCTTTTCGATAACCTCCTCTTCATCAGGTTCCACAGTTATATATACATATATATATATATATATATAATAATGAATGAATGAATTGGTGTTATTGACAACATTAATGTTATTGAAATAACATCGAATCAATAATAATAATAATATCAATGGATTACTGTTCGACAGCATCACCATGACAATACACTGAATTTTAGGAAATTTAGGAAAGATTATGATACTAATTCATGAATTTCTAGTCTCCACTGAAGGCCAGCCAGGGCAGTAGTAAAGTACAGTTAACATATGGATGATCTGACACAGCCACAAAGAGATGCAAGGTTAACCTTTTGTGAGAAACAACCAATCAAAAGACTGTATTTTAAAATAACAATAATCTACAATAATGTACATTAAAATCTATAAATATGTGTTGATTTTCCTTAATAAAGGATCTGTTGCCTGACACTTGTCTTCTGTTGTTACAACTCGCCTTGTTAACAGAAGGTGATGGGTTAGAACCCCGCGGTGTGGGTGCGTACTGTGAAGAGTCCCAAACTAGGACGAAACAGCTGTCCGATACTCCCAGGTTTTCCAGTGGTTCTCTAACTGATGTCAGCTCATGATGAAATCCTGTAACCAATCAATCAAATCCCTACAAACCAATACTTGAATATCAATTATATTGGTCAGATTTTTCATGTATCCGATTGTGAGTTTTACTTATTGTGTAAGGCCTAATGATACTATCCGTGTCATTCATGCTGAAGTGGTTTTGACAGGAACCTATTGACTGGAAGTTTAGTGATTAAGCGAATGGTAAAATGCATCAAGAACTGACAACTTACAGAAGTTTGTAGAGGTATGTTCCTCACCAGATTTTCTGATTGGTAATTGTGTATATTAACGATTAAATAGATACTAACTATACTCAGGGAGCTACGCGATAATAAAAGGAAACCAGATGTGGTATCAATGAATCAAATTCACTGTCAGATATTAAGACTCAGTGTGAAGAGACGGCTTGATCTAATCTGGACTGGATTGTTTCGTAGAACACACTAACCAAGAAAAGACGCATTTTATCTCCGAGACAATAAGGTCTGTATACTACATAGTCTTGGCATGAAGAACCTATTCTGCAACGCCTGATTGGATAGTTTCCTATAAAAAGAAAGAAAACAAACATTTAGGGCTAGACAGTTACTATGGTGACCATCACGTGATCGACTGTCAGTCATACAGGATAACGATTATCTAAGAATAAAATATCCCAAAATAATTACGGAAAAAGATACCTTGGTGGAATATTAGTCAACAAGTGGGAAATAAGAGCATTGTTTGTGAAAATTACGACGATGAGAGAGTTCGAGTCCGTTCTATATTCATTCTGTCAAACTGTACCAACTCATTCATATTCCCATTTAACCAATAATCAATTAGGTAACTATGGTACTTTAGAAAACAAAACAAAACAAATCAATAATAGGCGTTTTCACTCATCTACTCACCTTCTGTTTTTCATTTAATGACTCATTTGTATCCTGAAGTTGAATGTGAAAATAATTTTCCTGAAGTAATCACACATTATTGTTTAATTTCATATTTTGTGTTTGTTTGTATGCCTTCTTTTTGTTTGTTTAGATAAAATAATAAATTATACACCCATTTTCCTTTGGTCCGCTTTACTACATTCCAAGCAAATGCCCATCATTATTTATTTTCAATGTGCTCAATAGTATTTAATATGTATGACTCAGGTCAACAGGCATTGGACTGAATTTCAACTGTATGTACACTAATAATATCCAATATGCTTAAGCCTTAAGAATATATTTAAATCAATAATTCATTATTAACCAATCAGTGAGTAGATCATGTGTTAGTGACCTTGTCAGCTATACTCCCATATAGATATATATGTAATCCGACTTAAGTTTATGCAATTTCACTTCGTTTAGCTTCAAATTAAAATTACACTGAAATTAATTATTTGGATATTTTATTTTACATTTGTAAAAAAAAAATAATAATAATTCTAAAATGACTTTTACTGACTATAACATTTTTAAACAACTATCAACAAGTATAATAAACAAAGATTAAATTGACATTACATCAGTAAAACAACTTTTTTTTATCCCATCACTAAGATAATAAAAAAAAACAAAAACAATTTAAATCATGTCACAAGAACTTTGGCGGTCGAAAACAGGCAGTGTCAGTTCACTAGATCGATTGGCTAAGAGTACTCTATCAATGGATTTACCAGAAGCAAGAAATTGTCGTGAAGCGCGCGAACAAAGTCGTAAAGAAATGCATGTTTTAAATGAAAAACTTGCTTCACAACTTGAAAAGGTAAATTGACTTCATATCTATTTGTTGATTTTTCGTATTTCATTTCAAACAAGTTTTTTTTTCTAAATTTCTTATTAGTTACCATTATTATTGTTATTATTATTATTATTTCGGTGCGTCGGTGGCATAGCGGTTAGGACGCTCGCCGACCATGCACATGTTCCGGGGTTCGATTCCCGGCCACTGGACGCACTCCTTTACCTCGCTAAGCCGGAAGTAATGCTGGTGAAGAGGAAAGGTTGGGGGGCATGAGGCTAGCAACCCCATCCTGTAAAATAAACACTGCTACAGAAACTTCAAGCCACTAGCTTGAAGCTCTATGTTCCACTGGGGAACGTGAAGGGAAAAAAAATTATTATTTCAATGGACATTACGTCTCAAACCGACATCAGTTAGCGAATCATTGATAACGAATTAGCACTGGATAGCTGTTTTGTTTTAATCCGAGACTGTTGAGTAATACCTATCCATGACTCCACTCTGCTATTCATCTAGTGGTATGGAACCCAGTAGTCTTTCAAATCTAAATTCTTTTAATATGCTACCTGAATGCTACTAATGTTACTATTGTAATTTTGAGTTGTACTTAAATGTCAATGGATTACAGATGGTTAGTTTGTCTTATACATCCGCACCTTTCAGGATCTTAGTGATTAACAATTATTATTGAAAAATGTAGACTGTAACTTGCCTAGCTGCGTGTCACTTGACACACAACATAAATCAAGGAGTACTGGACATGTGTTTCGTCCTAGTTCGGGACTCTTTAGCAGCACACACCAAGTACCTAACAGCTACAAGGCGAGCTCGTAAACCCAATCCAATGGCCCTTGAATCTCGCCTTCTGCCAATTTATGATATATAGAGCAACCACCAGCAAATATCATAGGCGAATAACTGTCCTCTATCCTGGCTTGGTGAACCTCTCTGGCGACAACTTGTCATTAGAACTCCTGGTGACTTCCTGTATACAACAAGTCGCTGACGAGCATCAGATTAATTATCAAGTATTGGTTTTCAGGAATTTGACTGGTTACATATTTAATTACGGACTGACATAAGTTAGAGAAAAATATTAGAAAACCAAGGATTCCTGGATAGTTGTTTCGTCCCAGTTTAGGACTCTTTGAACTCCGGTGGGTGTGTAATGCTGAAGGACGAAACAGTTGTCTAGTACTCCCTGGTTGTCAGCTTTTGATCAAACTTGTTGCCAATCAAATCTATTCACATTAGCACATGAAAATTCTAGATTCATTAATTCTCTTGAAAAAAAGATCTAATACACCTCATTGATGATTAACAATGAAGATGATATCATGACCAGAGTAATGAGTATTCTTTCAAGCTGTCTGTATTCATTCATAGACCATAGATTACTTCTTGATAGCTTGTAGTGTTTACTTACTAGTAAAGTTGATGGCATTTTGAAAATAGTCATTGAAAGGATTAACGAAATCATCTGTGTATGACTGATCACATTGTGACGACATATAGCCCAGGAATGACGACTGACTACACGTTTTCTTCCTTCCAATGAGCCTGTTGTCTAAGCAGTACTTAAATACCAGATTTGGGTGAACTTTGCCGCGTAATTTGTGTACAGCATCTACAATTCCCTGTATATACTACGGTCGCATCTGACTAGTTGCTCAAGGTCACTAATCCGTTCAAATTAGATAGTTTCGTTTTGGGCTGCCATAGTTTAGAGTCACCCATTTTTTAAATATTTCGAAGCCTCTTTTCAGCTGCAGATGGGTTAAAATATATGACCTAAGATTAGTGAAATAAGAACGTACACTTTGTGAACTTCTATTATATATTATTCCCTTGGATTCCGAATGGAACATAGGGTTTCGACAACACATCTCTGCCGTCCTCTTAATCTGGGTTCATGATTGCCCATAATCTCTCATCTTCCCTCCTCGACACATGATATCCTCCATGTCACCCTCGCATTGACGACGCTCTGGGATTCCACTTGAGCAATGGCCTGCATTGAGCGTGATGTCATTCGACGACCTCCTCAATGTGTGCCCGATCCATCTTCATATTTGTTGAGCGATTGGCTGTCGCCTGTTGGTTTGTTCCCAGGCAGAGTTTTCTGTTACTAATTCTTTCTGGCTATGTGATGTTCAGTATGGAGCCAGCCAGCCAGCGAAGTGGGCGGCTGTTGATAAAAGTCTGCAACCTGTTGGTAAGCTTTTTTGTGACCTTCTACGGAGTAGAAATTAAGCATCAGGATCATAGTAGTTTAACGAAACACTATAGATTTTTCTATGTAATGGCATAAACATTACAATTGACATGGATAGAAACTAGTTATTTATCATTAGTTGTGAGGCAGACTCAATAAGTTATGGTCTATGGCTTAACAACGAGAAAGAAATAGTAACTAACCAGCAACATATAAGGGGAAAGATTGCGTAATAACATACAAGAAAAGCATTTAGAAAAGATTACTAGACCAAAAATCATAATGCTAATTACGGAATATACACATTTGATCATAGGGAATAAAAAGACAGTTGCAGCGAAGAAAATTTTCTTTTCGACGAAATCATCAACTAGACTGCACACTCGTGTATATTTATGATAAATGGGTAGGAAAGTTCCAAAATAATTTCTGGTCAAGGGTCAGATTAATAGAATTACAATTAGGAATTAAAATGCCATAATAAACAGGGGGACGGATAAAGCTCAGATATATACCTGATATACGCTCTTTCCTCGAGGATTCGGAAGATATGCAGCGAGGAAGTGATTGATGAAGAACTGAGTAATCTCCGAGGAACCCTGATGGAAAACGGTTTTCCGCCTAGGTTCATAGATAAGAATCTCAAATCAAAAAAGACTTCTGAACAAGTTCAATCCGTCCCGAAGACGATACTTCTGCTTAATCTAGAATTCAAAGGTGACATTGAAGCAGAAATCCTTCGTAAACGCCTCTGCAAATCTCTGAGGAAGACATACTTTGCCGCGAGCCTACGACTAACGTTTTCCTGCAAGAAACTGTTCAGCCAGAACGCGAAAGACAAGCTGTTGCACTAGGCCACTTCAACGTGCGTATACCAGTTTACTTGCTCTTGCGGAGCTGAGTACATCGGCCGTACCATGTGCCAACTTGAAAAACGCGCTCGTGAACACTATCCAGCTTGGCTAGTAAAACGAGATCGAAAACGTGTATATAGTTCAGTGACAGAACATCTGGTCAATTCAGGACATTCAGCGCCATTCGAAAAATCCTTCATAATAATATACAAGATTCGATCAAACCTATCAAAGACATCTGGGCATAGCCGAGGCACTAGCAAGTTCAAACCCACGCTATGTATCCAAAAGAAATACGTCCAACCCTTGTCCCTGCCATGGCCATCATAAACAGGTAATTCTTTTAATAGTGACTATCCCATCACCTTTCTTATCCAAACTTCCTGTTTATTCACGTTATTTTTAAGTTTTTCTTAATTCCTATTTACACTACCATATTTTCATATTCGAACTTCCTGTCTATTTTGTCATTTCATTACTTCTACATATTTAATCCCTGATTCATTATTCGTCACATTAGTTGTGATCCCACTCCATTTTTTATCCAAACATTCTGTCTATTTTTGTTATTCCTACATTTCTAACCCCTAATTACACAATATGTCAATCTTCTCAGTAATGATGATGCTACTTTTTCTGAGCTTTATCTGTTCCCCTCTTTATTATGGCATTTTAATTCCTAATTGTAATTTTATTAATCTGGAACTTTCCTACCCATTTATTATGAATACACGAATGTACAGCCTAGTTGACGGTGATTTCGTCGAAAAGAAAATTTTCTTCGCTGCAACTGTCTTTTTATTCCTTATAATGATAATTATAGTAGACAACAAAATACAGTAATTGTTACCAGCGTAAAGTGAGATCAGCGGCGCTTTTTTTTCTACATACACAAATTTGGGTTTAAAGACTCCTTGCTTGATAGGCATTAGATTCAGCGGACGGAAGTAAAGTTGTATTTCTTTACCTGTTTATGACGGTAGAAACAGTTGGAATATCCACTTCCTTATAAGATTTGATTAGCTATCAAGCAATTTCTGTGGTAAGAAACTAGGGTACTTTGAACCTCAGGCTTTCTGGAAATATATACATAGAGAGTGAGTAGACGCCTGTCTTCTTGTCCTTTCAATATATTCTTTCTTCGACTAATCCTTGGAAGTAATTTTCGCTGGCTACATATCCACTGTCGATTGAAAAAGAGCACCACTTAGTGCTGTAGGTAGGAACAAGTTTAGCTTCTTATTGCATGTGTTGGGTGTAGATTCGATGAACCAGGATTCAGTAATCGATCTCTCTCTCCATCTACCTATATTACTTTTTAGAAATTTGACTCTGCCCCACCCTACTGTGTGATTATGTGTTATTGCATGCAGTCCAATCGCTAAGCTGTTTCCTAAATTACTTATCATCTCGGGGTCAACCATTATTACCTTAGCTACATTCGTATGTTTCGACAATCTGATTACCCCCGAAGTACTAGTTTGACCTATGCAGTTGACCACAACTCACAGTCATTGCAGGGTATTTTGTAAATTATATTATTTTGTCTAATTGGGTCAATCGGCGGGGTCCTTTAACCTTCAGAGCTTGTCCCTGAGTGAGTTTGTAGGTTTGAATGCCACTACCCTAATTCCTGCTTTATTTAGAATCCTACGTAGGGAGGGTCTCAGATGTTCCCTCTTTATATGGTATAACTGTAGATGACTTATATTCTCTCTTATTTATGTTATTATTACTAGTTTCACAATTCTTTTTATTTTGGCCTTTTTCAATCTTCCTAATGAATTTTAAAGGATAGTTATTTAACACCAACGCCTCTTCTATCTGTTTTATTTCATCATTTAGGTCTTTTTTGTGCTACTTAGTGCCATTGCTCGGTTTGTTAAACGCTTAACTAAGCCTATCTTCACAGACAGATAACGGATGAGATGAATTAAAGTCTAAATATCTAT